AAAGAGTAGAATTTAGGGAAATTACTTGACATTTAATGTTTTTTTAATATAATTTTTATAATAAATTAAATGATAACATTTTATTAGGCTAAAAAACTAATAAAAAAAAGTTTGCTCAGGCACTTTAAGCACCATTAAGCATGCCTAATATCAACGACTTGTTAATCTGAGTGGAAGAAGTTTGATTTTTCATAAATAAGATTTTGAGTTTGAATCTTATGAATAGAGAAATCGATATTGGGAGAGCTTCATTCTAATGGGTCCAACACAACTTGATTTCGAATTAATTAAGAAGTTAACGTGATTACCGATTATCTGAAGGTTAATACCGAAAAAAAAGCATGCCTAATAGTTTTAATTGATCTGAACACTGCAAACCGAATTTCTATACAGAGGAGCCCGCTTTTTCCAACACTGTTCCTTCGCCATCTGCTTGCATTATCATATTTTTTCTGTTATTTCCTTTTGGCATTCTGTGTTCTAATTGTGGTCCTTGTATAACTCATTAGTTTATCAGTTGAGTTAAATCTAACAGTTGTAGATAGAAAAAATTGTTTTTATTTTAATTTATTGCTGTTAACACTGGCAGTGAGATTTTGGAATTCAGGAAAATAACAAACACAGGGAAAAATGTCAGGCTATGAGTGGCTCAGTAAAGAAATTCAAGTTTTATAGCTACTTCGAATCAAGGGCTACCTATGCCAGAAGGTATTTGATTACTTTTAGAGCCATTGCTAATTGTCTGGAGGGGAAAAGACTACGTTTACAGTAAATTACATGCTTTACATTGTCTCTTTTTATTCATTTAAGAGAGGGATTTCATCAATCTGCAGTGCCGGCTTCCTTTAGAAGATTGTATGAGCTCAAAACTGAAGCCCTGCGTTCTGTGGCAGGATATAAGGTTTTGATTGTATACGCATTCAAAGGTTAGCAATTGTTTTTTTCTCATTCAGTGTACTAATTCTCCTGATCCATATTGTATCATGTTCCGGATCATTATTCAAGTGTGGTAGCCAATTTTGCAGGATATTCTATGTCAGAACAACAAAGGGAAGTTGTTATGGCAATATTTGGTGTTCAAGGCTTCAAGCTACAACATTACGCCTATATGGTATTGTTTAAAATGAGGAAATCATGTGGAACGCATTTAAGCTTGCAGGCTCTTACAACCTTATTCTAAAAAGTTGAAACATACAGGACTGATGGTTGCGTAATTTACAGAACAATCATCTATTGAGTTTTAAAATTCATTGAACCGCAGGTGCAGTTGCCTTTTGGGACATTAGTATGTCAAAGAGTTTTTAATACATTTTGCCGATGAAATGTCTATTCTTAATGATATTTTATTATTGTGAAGATGGACCCATGTGACATGCTCAGATCGACCAATGTAAGACATTCAAAATAAAGGCCACTGAGTTTGCCTGCTTTATATCTGGTAACTGTGAATAAATATAAATATAAAACTATATGTTTGATTCTACACATTGGGTGCATGCTATTGTTGCATTTTATCTATGTTGAATCACACCATTAGTCCTTGAATATGAATTTTCATTTTGGTCTTTTACTACTTACTTTTTGTGGTAGACATTGTTTACACCTATATTGCGAATAGCTACCTAAGAGTATATCAATCAAAACCCCTACTTGGTTTGTTGGGCTAACAGCAATGTTCAGCTTGCCAGAGTAAACTCCCTTGACAGGAGTTCTTGATGTCAATTGAAATAATCAGGTCTTCCACTGAAGTAAAATGTGATGGAGTGTTTAAGATTAACACTATAATTTGATTAGGCTGTTATTTATCATTTATGTATCCCTTGCAGCCATCTCAGTTATGCATTGTTTAGGGTCAGAACAAACAAAAATATTCTCAATAAATTAGGAATTTATGAAGATTTACTAATCATATTTTTATTTTTT